TTTAATATGATTTTAGTTAGATTCATATTAGATCGTTTTTCGCGGGAGCTGTGTCATCTTGCCACGAATAATTCTGAGGACCCTGATGATTCTAAGGATCTGGATAATTCTGAGGAGCCGCATGATTCTCAGAACCAGAAAGATTCAATTCGGATTCGAACGTTTGTTGGTATTTGTAAAATAACCAAATTCGAAGTGTTAAAAAGAGAATTGCAAGCTGTTTTTACGTTCGATGAGGAACAGATAAGTACATGGCGGAAGGTTTGCAGACAATTCTTGATCAGTCCTCAGAGAGATATGAGAAAATGGGCCGTTGAAGGTCTGTCGTATCTCACTTTTGTCCTCAAGGTCAAAAACGAGTTGATCAAAGACCAACTAGCCGTTAAAGCGATAATCGAGTTTGCCAAGATTGAAAATCAATCGATTCTCTATCAAGTAAACATATTGTTGGTGAACTTGTGCATCGCTTATGACAATTATGATCTCCCACCCGAGAGGGAAATGTTTGTAAACTGTTTTAATATTGATCACATACAGGCCGAAGACGACTACGTGCAAGAAAGACGGCGCGTGTTGGCGGAGGCCGGCGTGACCAGCGCTTTGGTAAGCCTCGCTAAAACAGGCAGCGAGAATAGCAAGGAATTAATAGCCCGCGTTTTCAACGCGATATGCAGTGAACAAGATTTGAGAAAAATAGTTATTCAAGAAGGCGGCACGGAGACATTATTGTCGTTAGCGCTGAATGGCACAAACTCAGGAATGATATATGCTACGCGGGCCCTGACCTATCTAGCACTCACGACATCTCCTGAGGTTGCATTTCCCGGTCAGATAATCATGGAGGTTGTACAGCCGATCTCAAATCTCTTGAACCCGGAGCATTCCGTTAATGAGAGATGCGATGCTCTAACAGCTTTGTGCAATCTAGCTAGTGTCAACGACATGCAAGAACATATTTTCAAGACAGAGTATGAGAAAATTGAACTCTGTATGCGTGACGATAACAACCTGTTGAAACAAACGTCCATACAACTTATAAACAATTTGGTATTATCCCATAAAGTTGCCATTCAATTTGTTGAGCAGAGATCTGATCAACTTTTTGATCTTATGAATAGGTCCGTGAAGGACGGCACAGATCACCATACAAAGAAGGCAATAGCTGGAACATTAGCAACGCTAACGGCAGCCAGCAAAAAGACTTGCGAAAAATTACTCGGCTGGGACATTTGGTCGACATTCCTACCTATTTTACTAAATGATCCAGACGATAACTTACAACATAAAGGTACCGAAATTGCGTTAAATATGATGAACAGTACGAAAGACGTCGCTGCAAAACTCATCGAAACAGATACAATAATGAAACGAGTGAGGGAATTGAGCGATAATAACACCGTGCAAAACAAGAAAATCAACAAATTAGCATCCCGTGTTTTAGAAGCTGCTGCGAAATGGAGTAAACTCAAGAGAAACATCGAAGGGAGCGGATCGTCACAAAGCATTAATAATATATAGAACATTCGATTAAGAAGATTAAACGTGACTAATTTAATTAATTGGGATCTAAATGAAACATTAATAGAATATTATTTTTTATTTTAATAAATGGCAGCACAATGTACAGTATAATTAATAAATAACGAAACTTTGCATTTACAAGACTCCTGTCCCGGCGCTTTTTACCCATGATAAATAATATTCCAGTTTCTTCGAATCAGAAGTATACTCTTTCTCGACAGGCTTGGGTCGTCGCTATGACTCTGCGAAAAATTTTTTGTAATTCATGATTGCTGTCCTTGCAAGTTAAAATTTCTTTCTTCGCTGCTGCTAACAATCGATGGAGCTCGGAGAGTGCCGCGATCGTATATATGGTTTTTATTTCGGCGCCTGATCCTTACAAAATGGAAGCGCTTCTCTTAGCACCGCTAAACATTGAACATCTTACGGCAACCAATCAACCTACATACATATTTAATAATAATATATTATAATGTATATATTTATATTATTATATAGGTATACAAGCTACTGACGCTTTTTATGTTTTCTATAACGGATTCAAATGCCGAATCCGCATCTTTGAAGATTTCATTGTTTTTCTCAATTCTCATGTTTCCACAGAAAATATAAAAAAACTTGAGCAGCCTACTCGTTACAGTTCAAATAATCTCCAATGTAAAGCGCAATATACCGGGAAGCGTACATCACGTTTGATACGTTAAAGTGTCATACGCTGCGTTCAAAAAGTTCGGGCTTATCGCTGTAATAAAGCTCTGCTGAACTTTTTCTATTCCTGAAGTGGCAGCACGAGTTCAGAGATTTTTTTTTTTTGTATTTTACCTTGAAAGGAAAAAAATAAACGCTGAACTAGTGCAGCCAGTTCAGCAATAGAAAACTGATCTCATGTCTCATCCTGAATTCTGCGAAAAATCTGACGGCTTTACGCGCGTTCGAATCCGCGCTTTCGAAAGTCACGTGACGCGCAGCGAAAAGTGTCATTTCATTAGCTACTATATGCCGGTCACATGGCTAATAACAGCCAATCCGAATGAAATTCTATTCCAACGAGACGGCACACAGTGCTTATTTCGGATAATGTTTGTCGGTTTCAATTACTCCTTGAAAAGTCCTAGGATCGTGAACATAGAGCGAGCACAGGAAGTTTGAGGGATCGAGAGAACCAAGAGAAAGCTGTGGAACAGGTAAAGAATCTACTTTCTGTTCTGTTTTGCCGCGATCATCTGAATAAAAGCTTGCAGCGTGCGACATAATCCAATTGGATGTAATAAAGGTACTTGTATAACCAACGTGAGATTACTACATTTCGCCCGAAAATACCTTGACGAATCGTTGAGGCAAGTAGAGCAAAACGATTCATCCCCGCTGGATCATCCTATTGTATATCTTATTCAAGAGAAATGGTAAAGCCAAACCAGCCAGACACACACAGTACACGAATTCTCCTGAATAATTTGCAATTACAGCATTAACGTTTAGAAATCTCTCGACATGTTATACGAAGAAAGAGAGGTGACGTATAACAAAACATCCTAATTTTATAATAATTTTTATTGTTTCTTTTCTCTCATGTAACTGAATAATTAATTTTCGTGTATTGTAATATTTACTTCGTCGAAATGTGACCCCTCTCGAATCTAAAGTCTTTGTTGCTCGAGTCTATTTTCTTATGCTATACCCTTATATGCCACCGACCGTGACGATATGTTTATACGAAACATGTTCGAACTGGCTTGAACAGACCAAAGAACTGGATGTGTCAAAGAAAAAAAACGAAAAACAACCATTTGGTTGACCCGAACCGTTGCGATTGATAATAGGTAATTGAATGACAATCAGTAGATCAATAATATTATTCAGTCTATCGTTGTTTAACCCCAATGCTCCTATATTTGTGTCAAAGATAATTTACCGAAAATAAACCTTTCTTCCAATACTAGCATGCAAGTTAGCTTTCTAATATAAAAATTGTTGCGACAATCGATAACAATTTATATGCAGGTTTTACATTAAAAAATGCAATGTTATTATATTAAACTGTAAATTAATTTTTTATTTATTAGTGTCTCATACTTGCATATAATTATTTTGTAATAAGTTCATAATCTGCAGTGTTTTTTGTATTTAAGTTAATATGTATAAAATGTCATAAAGAGACTTTTCATGTTAAAACATACATTGCAACATCATATATTTTGTGTTATAGCATTATTCCACCATTGCAGAGTCAGATATGACAGCACAGGAATAATAAGAAGGGTGATAAAGAGTTTATCCACGGAAAGTGGTCTAAAGCCATAAGTCACTACAGAAAGGCAATTAAACTAGCAACAGACGACACTGAGAAGAGATTGTATTACGATAATCAAGCTGCCGCATATTTTGAGCATGACGATTACGACAAAGTGATTAGAGATTGCAACAGTGTGTTTAAAGTTAAAAATATATCATAACTTTCGCATAACATTGATTCCCAGACTTTTTGCATTAATAGAGTTAGAGAAATTCGAGCAGGCATCAGAACGTGGAGATTATATTATTTCATCTTGCTCAAATGATACGCTACCTCAGCATATAACGGAGCAATTTTGTAAAATTTCAGACGAACATATTAAAAACAAAGCAAGTATTAATGCCAAGATACATATACATAACTACAAAAATTCATTAATTTGCAGGACACGTTAATTTGGTCTAGATAATATCAAAATCAAAACACATTCTTTATATTCAATATATTTTAATAAGAGTTCTTATTTCACTTTTAATATCACATATAATTTGACAAACGAATATAAGTTCTTGTCTCTCTTATTATATAATTATTTTTTCTTATCGATTAATAAATCTACACACTATATATAGATACCTAAATATTACGTTATACTATTATAATCTTTTACGGTTAATTTATATCCTTATTACAGATCATTATATTCAAATATACGCTTAATTTCGTTTTGCATTAGGTATCCCAAATAATACATCTAGCATTTAACGTGAGAGCAGATAAGGAGAAACGTGAAAACGCCACGATTTCTCCGAGATCTTCATAAAGGAAGTGGGAGAGAACGATAAAGTGATCTGTA